TTGTGTGTTTTTTGTTAAATTATATAACAATATCCTTTAAACCTGATTTCTGCACTTCTTTCTTTATAAAGAAAAAATCGCGATTTTTTAATTATTGACAGCCACATTATCAATAAGTAGAGCTGCAGACGACATGTAATCACTTAATAATTTTTGGCCAGTGGATTTTTTCATGGAGGAAGCTATCGTGCTAGAACGGAAGACGGTAGATCACTAAGGGGCCGTTTTTGTACGAAAAGGACTTTGGTCTACCCACCATCAAAATGGGGCGTCGCAATTAACCAAATTTTTTATGGGTTTAAAGTAATATTCAATCAATCAAAAAAAAACAAGTCAAGCAAAATTTAAAACCCCAAAAAGATAAAATGAAAACTAAGTAAAGGGAACGAAAGTAGTGAAATAAAAAAAAAAGGGGCGACTAAGAAAAGCCCAAAATATATGAAGCTTAAAATTTTTAAAAAAGTAGAAAGTAAAACTCACAAAATTTTCATAAATGACTTAAAAATTTCGAACTTCATTATTGTACCCCCTTTAAATGTAAAAAAAAAGTATATTATTTTTATTAGAACCAAAATATCTGGTTTGTTATTCTAAGTTATAAAGGACGAAATATACGCAAAAACACATCAATAAATCTTACAAATATTATCAGAATATAAATATTTTATATTCTTATTTTATAAACATGTAAGTCGTTTTTAGTAAAAGACACAGATATGTTTGCAAAATTATTTTCAGATGTTATCAAAAAAATAGGAAAATCATTGTTAAATTTTTCAATTTAAACATAAATATGTGTTTTCATCTTCACAGTATCAACACATGTTAGCTATCAGAAAACTCATATTGAACAGAGCAGTTCTGTTCTGTTATAGAAATAACATTTTCGCGCAAAATAATCTTCTTGTTCTTTCTTTCACTGATAATGATAATACATGTCTCATTATAACAGTCATTTGTATAAAACTGTTTTGTCCTTTTTGTCACAAATGATATTATATTATGTCTTGTTATACATGTCACCAGTATTAGTAATCAAAAGTCTTGTCCTGTTGTAACAAATGATGTTATTATTATGTTCCGTTATTACAATTATTTGTAATTAAAAGTAATGCCCTGTCTGTGACAGATGATGTTTCATTATGTCTCTTTATAACAATATTATTATTTTTTACGTAAATGTCTTGCCCTGTCTGTGACAGATGATATTTTTTTTATAATGTCTCTTTATTGCAATTATTTGTAATTAAAAGTCTTGCCCTATCTTTGAGAAATGATGTTTTTATAATGTTCGTAATAACAATAAATATTATTTTTTGTAAGAAAAAGTCTCGTCCCATTTGTGACAGAGGATGTTTTTATTATATCCAGTTTTTGCAATTATTTGTGATTAAAAGTAGACATAATTATGATGTTTTATTATGTTTCTTTATAACAATAAATATTATTTTTGTACGAAAAAGTCTTACCCTATCTGTGACAGATGATGTTTTTATAATGTCTTGTTACTGCAATTATTTGTAATTAAAATTCTTGCCCTATCTGTGACAGATGATGTTTTTATAATGTCTCGTTATAAAAATAAATATTTTTTGTAAGAAAAAGTCTCGTCCTATTTGTGACAAATGATGTTTTTATCATAACCCGTTATTACAATTATTTATTATTAAATATCTTGTCCTATCTGTGACAGATGCTGTTTTTATGTCCCGTTTTTACAATCATTCATAATTAAATATCTTCTTATCTGTGACAGATGATGTTATTGTTATGTCTGGTTATAATAATAATTTGTAATTAAAAGTATTGTCCTATCTGTCACAAATGATGTTATTATTATATCCAATTATTACAATTATTATTTGTAAATAAATATCTTGTCCTATTTATTTTGTCAAAGGTGATGATATTTTCATGCCTAGTTATTACAATCATTTGTGTATCAATGTTTTGCTACATCTGTGTCTGTTAATTGTTATTTTTGTTATATTTATTTTTAACTTATGTCATTTTTAAGGAATTTTTTAATATTCTGTACAGTTTAAGTGTAAAAGCTCCCTTGAAATGGAATTACAACCAATACCTAACCTTAAGTGATTTTCTTACACCTTTTAACGGTTTTTCAATCGTTTGAAATACAAATTTAGAAAGTCATAAGAAGCATTTAGTACCTCATCCGGTAAATCCTTTTAAACGCAGGAAATATCTAAAAATCATTTTCTGTCTTAAGAAATGTCTGTCACTTACAAATTTTCTGAAAACGAAATAATACAATTTTTTATGATTTTAACTTCGCCGACATCATATGGTTTATATTAAAATAGGTACTTTGTATTTATTCATTCGGCTCCCTCCAACATTAAGTCTAACTGAATAGACCTGGAATATGACTTGGAAAATAAACCAGAAACTATTGCATTCTTTTTTATTATTTTCGAAATGTATGTTATGTAATCGGTATTCTTTTTCCATTTAGTTTGTGTTATTGTTTTCCCCATTGTTTTTTACTTGAAAACTTATTCTTATTTGACAATCGATTACAATATAGACAATTACCCCCTTATGTTTTATTCATGTAGAATCCTTTCTTTAAAGCTTTATCGTTTTACCAAGCCTGACATTTCCGTTTGACTGACAATAATTTTCATGCCGTAACATTTTAAAGCACCTTTCAAAGAATGGCTACAATCTTTAAGGTAATTGTAAAACAGGTTTTAGATTTATTGCCTGGTCAAGGCCTGAAAACGGAATAAGTTTTTTTTCCTCAAAATTCTCCCTCTCTGACTTTTCTCACAACCTATAAGAAATTAGGTTGAAAACCTTCATGAAAGTCAGTTTCCTTACCTTTTTTATAATCAAAGGGCTGCAAGCTCTGTGGTATTTTCTGATCTTTGCAATCTAAATCATACTGACTATCTGTATGTATTTCCTATATAAGTTTATTTTTATATACTATAATTCATCTTACGCAGCGATTGCATTTACATTTTCTTTCTATTACAGTTTGAGATTGATACATGTGGAATTTTGCATGACTAGAGTTGCATCAAAAATCATTTTTTTATGACAGCCACACTTTATCCTTGCATATCGTGTCTACTTCCTTAAAAAAGACACTTCAAAAAAAAAAGTTGCCTCGACTAGGATTTGAACCTTAGGCCTCTCGCACCCTAAACGAGCGCGATACGAGCGCGATACCCCTGCACCACGGTGAAGTAATACGTTATATGTAGCCTGAATAAAAACAAAAACATTGTAATTCTAAATTGAGCATTTCCATTTCGTGTTTGTAATCCTTATCAAGTTCGAGGTATTTTGTTCACGATAAACCTGTTTCACACTGATAAAAATAATTTAGCGAAAATCTTCTCGCCAAACAGTCCGACATGTATATATTCCACTACTCGGCAATCAGATTTATTTGTGTACTACGCCCTGGAGTATTCAGTAATCGACATAGCTAAAAATAGAATTTTCATTGATTAAAATGATATTCATCCGCGAAATTTGTGATTGTAACCTCATATTTCTATTGACTTATCTGAACTTTCAATGCACTGTAATTCGTTAAATGCCTACATTAAAAATTATTCTGTCTTTTAAATTGCTGGTTTTTAAGCAAGTGAGAACTACTTTGCGTTGTTAGGTATGTTAGGAAATTTTGTGTTAGACCGTGGATGTTAGCTATGTATTTACTGATCTTACGATCAGAAAATACAAAAATGGAAATTGCTCCCAGTCGAACTCAATTTCAGAGATGCTGCCACTGGGACTCAGAAAATTTTCTGTCTACATATTTATACAAAAGACAGCGCATTAACTTTTAATACTGTGTTCTTTAAGCACACCTTAACAAGATATTCACGTTAACTGAACGAAAGCATAAATATTTAATTGAACTATATTTTTTCACTAGACACAAGTCAATCCTTTGTTCTTCTATGTTTTTTAGATTTTTAACAAATAATATTCTTCAATAGCCTAAAGAATTAATAGTAACATATACAGATTTTTAGAAATATGTTGATTGGGCAGAGGTGTCTTTTTAAGGGAATTAAATTTGTGTTTGATTTAAAGTACTACATGGATAACATAAGGGGAATGCATTTATTCAATAATTGCTGAATGCAATATTTGAGGGTTTTTTAACACCAGAAGTGAATGTTTATGAACATGTAAAATCAATACCTATCGGTTATTTGGAGTAGTTTGTTAAAGGACAGCATGTAATTGCCATGAAAAAGTTCGAAGTTTACTGCCATTCAAAAATATTTTCTGTATGTTTTAAATAATTTACTTTGAATGTTTTGTAAACGTTAAGATTAATATTGGTCTTCCTTTCTCGCGTTACTAGGCAATTTGATTAGTATAAATATGGTATTAAATTGGCATTATAATGCGTTTTAATTTGCGTTATTACACCTTTTGGTTTGCGTTACTACGCCTTTATTCGCGTTACTATGCCTTTTGATTTGCGTTATTACGCCTTTTGTTTCGCGTTATAACGCGAATAAAGGCGTTACTACGCCTTTTGATTCGCGTTATAACGCCTTTATTCGCGTTATTACGCCATTTGATTCGCGTTATAATGCCTTTATTTGCGTTATTACGCCTTTTGGTTTAAACATATTTATCTAAGCTCGATTGCGAAACAAGTTCTTGCAACTTATATTAATCACTTTCGAGTCCGCTTCCTGGAACCAACCAGTACTGGTGTCATATGGAGAAACATGGTCGTGACCCGAGTAGGGCTCGAACCCATGATCTCTGGGTTTAGAGGCAGACACCTTAACCACTAGGCCACCGCTCCCCTTTTATTACGCCTTTTGATTCACGTTATAACGCCTTTTTTGGCGTTTTTACGCCTTTTGATTCGCTTTATAACGCCTTTATTTGCGTTATTTCGCCTTTTGATTCGCGTTATTACGCCTTTTGATTCGCGTTATAACGCCTTTGCATTTTTATTTTTTTATTTTATTTGACACTATTAGGCTTTCGTACAAAACCTACGAGGCGTTTACGAAATCGGACTTCGAATTTTTCAGAAAAGGTAATCATTTTTACTACTAATCAGGATACTATGTGTTCCCGTTACATTAACATACATTTATTGTATTTATACACACAAGTCAAAGAAAATCTACTCCCAAAGAATGAAATTTCGGGAAATATGGCTCTGAAATTTGTACCATTTTGGGAAAAGGATATTTATCTTAATTTGAAATGGTACAATCTGTCATGGCATAATCAGTAATGGTATTATTGTATGAATAATGGTTATATAATCTGAAATGGTATGAAATATAGAATCGAATTGTATAAATTGCATCGGAATAATTTGTAATAGCGAAATTTGAAATATTGTTTGAGTTTGATCTTTAAAGAGTAAATCTACAGTACTGTAATCAAACTATACATTATTCTTTATTAAATCAAATACTATTTTTAAAATAATGATAATACATGTAATAATATTTTATTTTTCAAAAGTGAAATATATGAACGTTTTGTGTTGAAAACTCAATAATTATTCAAGTCTTAGTTATTTAGTATTCCTTAACTTGCAGTTAAGTTGGTTTATACAGAATTTATTTTAGTTCGATTGTGTAGAAGCTATAAGCTTATAGACCGATTTCTAATCCGTTCCTGGAACCAACCCGTATTGAGCAATGAGTGTAAAGTTTCTTGCTCAAGGAAACAACGACTTGCCCCTGCATGTAGATTACTAGTTCGACGCGTTAACCACTCGGCCATGTCGCCACTTTGCAGTTATATTGTACATGTAACATGTAGAAAAATACACACCTGTCTTGTCTTTTGTCTTTGTATTGTTGTAGATTCGTCATAGACATACAGTACGTCTTCCTTTTATTGGTGTTAAAGTCATGATTATTTAGTTCTTTCAGTGGCTAATTCGATTTTATTCTTATTATATCACTTTCCAAGAGCGCCAAAATCTTGCGTATGCATGTATATTAAGCAAAGTTGATGACAAAACTTTTGTTAAAATATGTTTAATTATTAAAAAGCGTTATTTAATTTTATGTTGCCCTTGTTTAAAGTATAGCTTACAAATACAGGAACATATTTCAAACTAATAAAACGTATGCAAAAACTTTATCAGTATCATTTCTTTTATCTTGTTTCATTTTTCTGTAACATTAGAGAAGTTGCTTGTAGTCTGTTTATGTACATAATTAACTGCTCATATTTTATGTTGATTTTTTTTTACCACAATCGGTTTAGACTTCCCTGATATTGTTTTACATAAAGCGTAGCGTTTTTAAGATGATTTAACAGTTCTTACAGTAAAAGTTAGGTCAGGAAAAAATAATTCAAATTGAAGATGAAAAAGGGTATATGTCATACATTATAAACAAAATATTTTTTCTTAAGATATTAGCTGGTATTACAGTTAAATATTCCCTTACAGGTGAAGTTGGTGACTGGAAGAATTGGTTCAGTGACGCTCAAAATAAACTGTTTGATGACACCTGGAAGAAGGAAACTAAAGACTTAACCTTATTCAAATTTAGATATGTTTAGATATGCGCAATCAAGTACTTCCTCACAACTATGTAAAGAATGTAAACATTGACATTTATATTAGAGTAAGGGTGTTTCCTTTTGATGAAAACAAAAATGTGATAAACCCAGTTAACTGTGAAGTATGCCTATTAGTTTTCACGTGAAAATTAGGTGCCATTTAGGGAGACATATACTCGTTTTTCTTGTGTGGTGTTTTTTTTTCTACATTACGGTAACATTTTATTGGACAATTTATTCCAGTAATATTTTTATCTGTTTAATATATATTGAAGCCTATCTGTTAATATTAAACATAATTATATATGTTTGTGAAAACTTTATCTTTTATTTAAAATGTATTATTGCTATCTTTTCTACATATACAAGTCTTATCAATTAGTGAGCACGTTCTGAAATACAGGGACTGCTTATTTGATTGTTTTACCATTTTGTATGATTTTTGTATGGGAAAAATATACAGGTGCAGATTACTTATGAGTTGAAGATTATTTTACAATGAGTGATAGGAAAGAGTAAAAGAGACAAAATCCTAATGGTGAAACACCTGAAAACACCTGATTCTCAAAAGAGAACAAAGTAAGCTATTTAAATATTGAGTAGAGAAGAACATTCCGATATAATTGCGGATAGTAGTGCGGTGGTCAACGGTTCGTACCTTTCTTTATTATACGAAAGAATATTACCAATTCAATTCAATTTAATTTAATTATTTATTCAGCATATGAACAATTACATGTTCGTCGCCTTTAACATGATGACGGCGGTTACAATTTTTCAGAAGAGCATGGTATATAAACATAATTAATTAGTTTTCATTTCAATATGTAAAATTAAGTATGTTTCCCAATACATGTACACACCGGCTCCCCATTGGTCAATAAAAGGAAAATAAACCTATGCATTTGGATATTCATTTAAACTGGGTTACTTTAAATTATTTATTTCAACATACTTTATAAGCCCTTGAATTCAAATACTGGTTTATATAATTAAAGCTATGCTACTCCAACAAACTTACTGTATAGAATCAAAAATGATAACGATTTTGGTATTGATAACAATTATATGTATATATAGAACAAAGGCTATAACATAGGGTGACATATGTGGTTTCTTTATTACATCTATGTTTCATATTGCAGGAGTGCCTCCCTTATACTAATGTGCATATCTCATAAAAAATTGTAGTAATTATTGTATGTATATAACTTTATGACTATATCAACAATGTTTCATACATCTATGACATTACTACTGAGCAGTAAGACTAGTACGTTTATTATCAGCCAAGAAGACATATTTAGCAACTTTACATAACAAGCCATATTGACAAGTTAACAGTGTTTGAAATTTCTGAATAGTTGGCCGATGGCAATAATAGTTTGGGAGACATTCATTTCTTATGGTGTGATACAACGAACAGACACGTATGAAATGATACTCATCTTCTATGACATTCATGCGACAAAAGATACATTTCCTATCCGCCCTATCAATGTTTCGATAACGACCCTCTTCGATTGCAAGTTTATGAGTAGAGCACCGCAGTCTACTTTATGCTATTTTATACTTATTAACCTTAACACACACCAAATATTTTTTAATAACAAAGCTTTTTTTATAAATTTATAAGTAGTAAGTTTAGGCATAGTGTCTAAAGAGCCAAATTACCAATATAAAGGTATTATCATTTGAACAATGAATGTTTGGTACATGTTACAGTCCGTATGCAAATATACGGTATCAGCAATGAGCTTAAATAACGAATCAATGAATGTGCAGCAGACGAATTCGACCAAAGTACAAACGGGTGCAATGCAAAATCAGACAAGTTTATCGGTGAAATATGCTGATAACATGGAATTTTAAAACAGAAAGTTTAAGGACAAATCTACCAGATTCTTTCACTTACTTGTGCCCATTTGTGTACTTATTTGTGTACGCAGCATGCATAAGCGAGAAACATAACTGTCATTGGGATTTTCGACTTTATTAAATTGTGTCTTTTCCAGAAGAGCAAGTTTAAGCCAAGTTTTGGAATTGTGCAATGAGAGAGGATTATCTACTGTTTACACCGGTGCTAGAAAAACCGGCCTAGCCCCTCCCGTGTTAGACAAGTTACATGTCATAAATGCTTTCATTTTTTATTTTTCAAAAGCTTTTTATTTTTATGTCCGCTTATATTTTCCGAAAGGTTACTAATTGGCCATTTACCTGAGCCATTTTGTTCTTCTGTTGCTTGTTGGGAGTAAGTACAGTTATAGTTATTTCGTAATTTGTATGGAAGTCAAAATACGACTTTGTCTATATTTTGCTACTTCTTCGAAAACAATTCATTTTCAGCAGTACTTTTTTTAAGTAATCGGCATCTAACATGCTCTTAAATCATAAACTAAACTTTATAAAAATTCATATTTGCCCTTTAAACAAAAGGAAATATTGATTCGTTTTTAGGCATTATGTGCCTTCAATATTAGTTCTTGTAAAAAAAATACAGTTTTGCAAACGTATGTCTTATGGGCTTTTATGGCAATTAACGTATTTGTACAAACATTATAAAAATAATTTTATGTTGTCTTTCAGTTATTCAAATATGACTTTTTTTTCAAATTGTGTAGATATTTATAAAAATAATGAATAATGTATAGTTTACTTTTAAATATCTATACTTTCTCCAGGCAAATAGCTGAAATTGTTTAATTATTAATTGCCATTTAAAGGGGGGGGGGGTAACAAAAGTTTATCTATTAAGCTATGTTGGTATATGATAGAGCTGTTCAATCAAAATATTCAGAATGTATGATGTTAGAACGAATTGAACTTTTGGAAAGACTCTGTTTGAGTTTAGTTTACAAAGTAGCACACGACAAAACAGTAGTGATCAGTGAACAAAGAATGATTTCAATTAATTTCTTAAGTTTCAACATTTCTGTATATCTAAACTAAATACTCGTACAAGTCATTGATTCTTATTATTGCATTTTTCGCATTACACACTTGGCTTTTTATCGGGTTTTACGTCGCAAAAGTATATATCCAGCTTTATTTGATGTAGGAAGACCTCAGGTGCCCCTCTGTACGTTATTTCAAACGGGTGCTGGATAGAACCGTAAGCAGGATGGATAGCTTTCCGAAGACGCTTGGGCGGCCTGAACGCCCCCTGTCCCCCCCCCCAAAAAAAAATGTTTAATTTTTTATTTAATAGTATCACATTCGTATCATGAAACTTGCTGTAATTGTTTCGTCTTGACAATTTCAAAGAATATGAAAATGGTACATGATTATAATAATATTATAGACCTTTTATAGTACGATTTTTCCATAGCAACGTATGTTGCATTTCGCGCATGCGCATTCTGCATAGGGCAAAAGCGCGATATAGATTTAGCGCACTTAAAGTCTTTAAAAGGCGTGATTTCAAGTTATGTCACCCAGAAAAAAATATTTTGTGATTAATTGAAGCGGTAAGTTCTTAAAACGTGAATTGTTGTTTATAACAGATATACAAAATTAGCGGGACTTATAATTCAACGACCAAAAGTCCTCTGTTCCAGGTATCATAAGGTGACTTTTTCATCATTAATTAAAATTAAAACAGCAGGGTGTTAAAGATCACATTTTATTACCCGTGTATTACATAATATTACACAATTGGTATTCCTTTGAAAGTGGATTGGCAAGGCGGTAAGTGTCAAACAGATTGACACGTGACCGGTTGCTATTTACCCGCTACTTAACAATATCATTCAACAGAGTCGTTAAAGAACCATGACATAGTTAATTACTTAAACTTATGAAAATGATTAATCGTACTTTAAGTAATTTTTATTTATACCAATCTTACCAATGTTTATTGAATTTGTGAATTGGCAAATAGTGTACGTGACGTGAATTTCCATGTGTTACAAGGAACCGGACATAAAGTGTAATATTCCACCACCCATCTTAACTTCACAAGAGTTTGAAAAATTATTTAAATATATTATGTGACTTAAAAAATTTCTGTTTGGCATCTCAGTCAAAGTGGATAAAGGATAAGCTAAACTGAAAACTAAAAATGCATTATATCACGTGTTCTGACTTTTTTTCAGAATGGTATTTAACCTCGATTTAAAATGTTAATAAAATCACGGATTTATATAAATCCGTGATAAAATTTATATAAAAATGTTATATATTACGTATATGTAAAAAAATATTTTTTTGATATGGACGTTTTCAAGAACAGTTAAATTGACTTCTTTATTTGCTAGTATATAAATGTCCACATATTTTTACTACAATAATCTCAATGTCAGGTCAGGGATCGTAAGGAGGAATTATTAAACAATCGTCTTTTCTATGCCTTTTTTGGGCAATCTTGGCCACAAAGCTATGAAGGCATCTTTTGTGTTTCTGTTAAAAGCTATTTTATATGATTTTCTAATTTTTACCTTAAACAAACTCGGAATTGTCTATGAATTTCTACTTCATTTCTATGTAGGGCATGGCTTTTTTTGCCCTACGCAAATTGCGCATGCGCGAAAAAGTACTACATAAGGTCATTTTTTTCATAGCAACGGACCGCGTCGTAAAAAGGTCTACACGGGAAGGGCCGATGTTTTACGAATAAAACGGATTGAGCTACCTTAATCCACCCGAACCCCTCCCCCATCCACCACACCATCAGGTCGACTTGTATATTTTCGACTCAGTGTTTCATGCATGCAGTTCAATACGACATTTTGTAGGGTTTGTGATGTAACATTTTCATATTTTTTATGGGTGGATTACCACCATTTACTAATATTTTTACTGGAAAATTTTAAAGTTACTTAAAGTGTACGGGTTTTTTTGTATTTACAAGTCGTCCTTTAGTTTAATTGTTATAAGTGAAATGTCTGCCCGCTTACAGGGAGAGCCTCGGATTAGACTTGAGCGAGTCGTAATTTCTCCGTAACCTTTGGTCTCAGACATTGAGTCTAATGGTTACGTGTCTGTCTCCGCTTTTTCATAAATCGTGTGAGATAAGTCACTTGCGGAGAAATTGGTAGTTACTAGGTAGTTATCCAGGGAAGCCGGTCAGGTGGTAAGACCGAGATATGACAAAAACTATGTTTTCAGCTCGACGTTAAAATCCAGGAAAAAAAACAACAACAAATTTAGTTTAATAGCTGTCTTTCCAGTCTTTTCGGAACCATTACGTCTGCACCTTTTGATAGAGTAGCACAAATGTTCCACAAACATTTTCAATAATACAAGTATCGTCATAAATGTTCCAATCTGCCACAGTGAATGCCTGGTGGGCATAAAATCCTCGCCTCCAATGTGGGTTCTGGGTGGGTGCCAATGAAGAGGTTTGGTTAAACCGAATCTACAACGATGTTTTGTCTTACTTTGTTTGGATTATTAGGCATACTAAATGTATCGAGTATTTAATCAGACGTGTTTTTACCTTTGTATGCCACCGTTTAGTGATAAAATAACAAGTTAGTTAAACAGTTTTATGTTTTATGAGTAATAAGATGCTGTAATAAATGATACTGGAACTTTTTTTTGTTACTGAAATTAATTCTTTTGCAACATTACAATATAAACGATGGCAGAAAAATGTAAATCGTTATGAAAATAAATCACTGTTCAATAAATAGAAAGATCATCGAAACACGAGGCTATGTGATTGGTTTAAGGGGGCGTCGCCCTCAATTATAAACATATCTCGTGTTTTAATGTTCTTTCTCTTTTGCATCATAGGCAAAAATAAAAAGAACACTTTCCCTGTCGTCACAATATGAAACACCAGGAAAAAGTAACCCAATATGGAAAATATTTTTACCGATGCTCAAATTTTGAGATCCAAATGTGGTTAACCCCCGAGTATGAGTAAATCCCAGGAAAAAATAGCCAATCAACGAGCGTGCTCTATTTAAGACAGTGCGGTAACACATTGTGCATTTAATGGTAAACGATTTAACTGATATATTTTCAAAAGAAACGTCTCCCAACTATGATACAATATTATGTGCATGACTTTTTCAACTTAAATGTAAATTTTACTGCTTCTCCAGTCCTATCATAATCAAAGGAACGACACTGGATTATTCTTGACCGGACTGGCTCAATATCAGAAACGGTCACAATTACAAGATTGGAATCAAAATACGAGGTTACAATTTTATTGGCATAAAAAGGCAGAAACAATAAAGCTCGAAGGAAAAACAGTAATACAAATATACAGCTTTGAAATGTAAGCAGAAACCTGGCAAATAATATTGCTTGATGTTTGCTTCTTATTACGATTTAAGGGTGACTTTTACTAGTGAAAGATATAGATTTCTTTTTATTTAAATCAAGTGTATTTTGTAGTTTTCTTATGTACTGCTATAAAAATTCATTTTAATAGATTTCTTGAAGTACATACAACAATAAACGGTTCATTCGGACGAGTTCCAATGAAAACGAAAGTTGAAAATGCGGGATCTATTTACAGATAGCCGATATTTTGGAGTTCGTTCAAAAAGTGTAATTTGTTTGTACTTTTAACTAAATTGGGACTAAGAAATGAGTTTCTTATAAGCGAAAATTCCTTACAACCGTGTTCGCTATAACCGTTAAAATTTTATTTTAAATAAAGAAGGCAATATTTGGGCCAAAATAAACTGTTCCTTATAACCGGAAGTTCGCTATAATCGTGTTCGCTATAAGTGAAGTCTACTGTATGTATATGTTATTGTCTTATAAACAGACGACACCGACAAATTCAACCCGTTGACAATTGTGCACACCAATCCCAATGTGGGCGCAGTCTACAAGAGATTCTTCAGTTCCATCGCAGTCGACATCATCTATAAGAAACGACAAAGAACCATCACCAAACGCTGAAGTCATTACTGATACCCCTCTTCTGCCTCACCGGAAATAGAAAATGACAGGCATGTAGATGTGTTAAATTAAGTTCAAATCATGTTTGTTTAACAGTTTCTAGATTAATGTTTAACTTCTTTTAAATTGTTCGTCTTATTAAAGCATACAGGTCCAAACATCAGCTTTGCATGCAAGGTTAATCGGTTTCGGTCATTTTTTTATCCTTGTTCATTAAGTTTTAAGTTGTTCTCAGAAATTGTCAAAACTGTTCGCTTCAAACTTTATTTAAATGTTTTTGTTTGTCTGTTTGATTAATTGCTTGTTTTCTTTAACAAATTTCTAAATCATGAATGTTGCATATGTCTCAGGATTTTTTTGTTATGAATTTAAATGAAAACAAAATAAAACTAAATCTGAATTGAAATTATAAAGTCGAAGGTTAAAAATGATTATATGCTGGTAAGAAGATATACAATATATTGATATAGTGTTCTTATTATGGACGATTAATTAATGATATTGAATCTTTGACTTAATGCCGGATATTTATGGACCCTCCCTCACACTGTTATGAAACTCGTGTTTAATATTTTGATATTTATATAACGTTTCTATAATTAAACTCACGCAAATCCTAATATTGTACATACAACGTTAGCATTCACATCTCTAGAATCCCAATAATCGTCACAAATACCCCACCATTGTCCATCGTAGAAAACTTCGACTCGCCCCTTATTACTGCTACCTTTCCCATGTCCTGAGCCATTGCACAATCTCATGTTGTTAACTGGTTCTGTGCACATACTTTTCAGCACCTGCAAACACAGAAACTAAATCTATTGATATTTGGTCATAATTTATTAGTATGATAGCGGAAAGCAGGAATGGATGGGGCATCCGATTCTTCCTTCTGCACAAAAGCAGAAAATGAAGGGACATTCGAATCCTCCTCTGAATACACAACACGGAGACGCATTTGGAACTTCCTTTACTAAATTAAAACCCTTAAGGTACAAACAAAATTCGGAACAACAATGTACAAAAAATTACCTTGGAGGGCATTACGTTTGTATTGGTGTTGGTTTTAAATTTCTAGTAATTCTGATATGACAGTGAAATTGTTCTTTCAATAAAAACGAAATGCAATTTATCCAGAAATATAACGACTATAGTTGATACACGTTAAGTAAACCTCAGTAAGCATATACATGTTTGCAATAAAATAAAAAATGTTTGATATAAAGAAAGACAACTCAGACAAGTAGTGGGGTGAATCGTTGCCAGTTTCTAGTGGGCCAAGTCATGGTCAATTGACAAAGTTGTTGTCAGTGGACCAAGTCGTTGCCAGTGAACCAAGTCGTTGTCAGTAAGTCGTTGTCAATGGGCCAAATCGTTGTCAATGGGCCAAGCCGTTGTCAGTGGGCAAAGTCGTTGTCAAGTCGTTGTCAGTTGGCCAAGTCGTTGTCAGTTAGTCGTTGTCAGTGGGCCAAGTCGTTGTCAGTCGACCAATTTGTTGTCAGTGGGCTAAGTCGTTATAAATTCTCCGCGACTCATAAAAGGATATATGCAACCAAACGCAGTTAAAACAACAGCATAACCATTATGATTTGTTAACCTAGTGGAAAATACTCGCGGCATAAAGACCGATGATTCACTGTAATTCAGTTACTTTGACATTCGGAAAAAAACTAATATAACGTAAAATTTAGTATCCTAAGAGATAAGATCAAATTTTATGTTTTTATTGAACATATATCAAAATGTGTATACATGAATCAAAAATCAAAGTTAGCTTATGAAATAAGTATTTATCGATATTTGTACGCTTCTAAGGTGGTAATAAAATATTTGACGCAAAAAAGATTAGCAATTGTTTTTACTACTTACTTACTATGCGCCACTCAGTCGTGTTTAATTACAAATATGTTTTTTAAATAATACTGCATCTGATATTTGTTGTTTTGGATGTGTGAAACCATTGGCTGAATTCGAAGGTTACTGTACGCCCTTCCGACGAAGAAAATGATTTTGTTTCTGACATTAATAATAATAATAATAATAATAATATAAACATTTTTTCCTGAAGGTAACATATTAAGAAATACATATTTTATTTACAATATGGCCTTCAATTAAACAAGATAATGAAATTCACAAATATGTACACACATATCAAAAACATAAACAACAACGATTCAAATTGACAGACACATGCATACATCAGATTCATTTAAATTGTATATCAAGTAAATATTTTTTCATATTTCTTTTAAAAGCATATAGAGACGAAGACTTTTTAATATATAAAGGTAAGTTATTCCATATTTGCATTGCATTATTTCTAAAAGTTCTTTTAACATATTTTGTATTAGATCTTACATGTATTATGTTTCTATTTGTAGTTGATATAAGTGTATACGTTTCATTTTTCGAGAACACTATGATATCTGAAATGTAGGAAGGAGTTAATTCTTGTATATATTTAAATACTAATAATGCTGTATGATACTAGCATCTATTTTCAAAAGTTAACCAGTTTAATTTAAGGAAAAGCTGTAAAGAAGGCGTTTTAACTGGTTTACACAATATTATCTTTGCAGCGCGTTTCTGCAGTTTATTCAATTTTTTAAATTCAGTTTTATTACAAGTACTCCATATAATACAACAATAATCAAAACAAGGTAAAATATAAGCATTGTAAACCATTTCTTTTATCCTTGAATTAATTTCTTTTGTAATTTCTTTTTAATTAAATTATTTGTTTTATTCCGCCATAGTTTATATGAATCCCACTGATTAGTTTTTTTTATAATTATCTCTTTTCAAGCGTGCAATTTTAATTTCTTCATCGTACTAATGTGACAGTGTGTCCCTTTTTAAACGTTTAATTTTAAATGGTGCATGCTTCACTAGAATATTATTTATCATGTTATAAAACAATTCTATAGCTTCGTTTGGATCATTAAATGTCTCTATACAATCAAAATTAGAATCAATTAGTTCACGTTGAAACGATTCTATATCAAATTTAGCAAAACTCCTATATTTTATAGTTTTGTGATTACCTGCATGTGTGCTAGTATTTCCTCTAGTGAAACATATTCAATAATGGTCACTAATGCTGCTTTGAATCAGGGGGTCTAGATACAAAGTTTAAGAGAAATGGTTTACATTTCACAAAATTAATTTCTATCCATATCGATTCAATTTTCGGCTGTGTCTAAATCATATCTTCGTTTATAAGGGACGCTGTCTTTTACATAATCAAGTATACCCCCTCCCTTTTTACCAACTCTGTCTTTTCTCTCAAAAACGTAGCTTGATATTTCAATGTCTTTATCAGATACATTCATAGGTAAAACCTTTTCACATAATCCAAATACATGTGCTTTAAATTCGTTTAGAATTATTCGAATTTCATCGAATTTCGGGAGTAAATGCCGTACATTTTAATTCATGACATGAAAATCCTTTTGTTTAAATTTGACTCTTTCGTTTTCAATATACGAATTATCGCAATGATCATTTTTACTTAACATTATTTTAGAAATTCCATCAAAGGTTCTGCCGTAAAAACGTTTATATCATAATTCTTCCGAACAACAGAAGCAAAAATGGAGGGACATCCTAGCTTACTTCTTTTAAATCAAAAATGGATAGGTTTTCGAGTCCCTTTTTAACACTAAATTAGACTTGCAGAACGGAGGTCCACTAAGTCTTTCTCTTCTAGAAAAGTATAAATGATGGGGCATCCGAGTTTTCTTCGAATACATGTTAAAAGAAGAGGCTTCTCCTCATCCTATTCTAAGAACGGAAATTGAGGGGATCTGATTTTACACCCAAATACATGCGTCTGAGTCGTCCTATTCTAAAAACGGAAATTGGGGGGGGGGGTCTGATTTTACACCCAAATACATGCATCTGAGTCGTTCTCTTCTAAAAATGGAAATTGGAGGGGGATCTAACCCCCATACATGTACATGTAGAACGGAGCGGGCATCCAGAAAAAGCAACAATAGAGGGGCATCCGAGTCCCCTCTTATAAATTTGAGTCCCTACAACCTACTAAAAAAGTATACAAGTAACAAGGATTTTTAAAAAAAAAATTTAATAAAGTTTCACAAAAACGTATGATGTGTTTACTCACTTTACTTCCATAAAGAAAGTTAGTTCCACACGTGCCAGTGTCAGTTGTTTGTTGAATATGTCCACTGTTCACGATGCACGTGTTATTCTCGCTCAGATATGAGAATGAAACACATTTCCCTGTCTGTGCACATAAACTGCCACACATTAATTTGCTTGTTATATTTCTGTGAACACTTTCCTGACTTCCTATAGCTGACCCACTGCAAATATTTGACATCTTAAACCCCGCGGTAAATGAATTTGTGTTTAACGACTCCGTGTTATGAACGGGCACAAACAAAGTCATTAAAACAATTCTTAAAACCTGCTTCATTTTAGATATTCTCATATAGTCACTTATACATCTGCCTGATTTTTCTTGTTCTTTAATCATGAAGTATTTTCACGTTTGGATGAAAGTAAAATACCGCTCTCCGCGACACTGCAAAATGTTCGTATGCCTAATATTTGTCCAGAGACCGCACATTAATTTGATTATGCTCTGGGAAGGCACTATTTATACAAATCATAAATTATTAATTAGTTGATCAAATTCGAAACATTTACATAAATTATCAATTTTCTAATTGAATGATTATTTTATTACGGTCGTGAATAATTTGAGTGCAATTTATTCAAAATATTGATAAAAGCAATATCAACGAATCTTTTTGATATTCAAAGGAAATGTTGCATGAAAAAACAAATGTCAATTAAGTGCAAAGGGATATAAAAGAACATTTATACGAGAAATACTAATGTTTTGTTTTATAACATTTTTACCTACATAAAACCCAAAGCTAAGTCTTTTGATAGAACTGTGTGGCTCTATGAGAAAACTATGACTTGCTGCGTAGCAAGATGAATCTAGTTAACTGGGACGAACTTCAAGATGATGATATTGACACCTTTGTTGAGAATATTACAAACACTATCATAAACATATCAAAACTTTGTATTCCAAACAAAAAAGTAAAAATCAAGCCTAATGACCCTCCGTGGATGAACAATCAAATAAAAACAAAAATAAGACAACGTAAGCGCGCCTACAGAAAAGCAAAAATTTCTCAAAGTCAACATCATTGGTTAAAATTTCGGAAACTCAGAAATGAAGCAGTTCAGCTAGTCAAAGACAGCAAATCTCGTTACTTTCTTTCTTTCATTGTCTGACAATCTTAAATCAACTTCCATATCATCAAAAGATTGGTGGAAAATCCTCAAATCCTTCATATCATATTCAACAAAAAAAGGTATTCCTTCTCTTATTGATCCAATTACTAATTCCATTGTATCTGAAGAACCTGAAAAGGCTAATCTACTAAACACTTTTTTTCAAGAACCAGACAATGGTTGACGACTCTAACAGGGATCCCCCCAGACCCTCAGACATAGACAATCAACAGACCTTGGAAACGATTTATATATCTCCATCTGAAATTGAGGATGTACTGAAATCTTTAAAAACCGATAAAGCATCTGGACCTGACACTATCAGTAATCGAGTTTTATATGAGGCCTACCAACAACTTTCTCATCCCTTTCACCAGCTCTTTAACTTCTCACTACGATCCAAGAAAATGCCGACATCCTGGAAATTGTCAAATGTCTGTGCTGTATATAAGAAAGGCGATCCTGCTGTTGTAAACAATTATAGACCTATATCTTTACTCAACACTATTGAAAAAGTATTTGAACGAGTAGTCTTTAAACATATCTTTAACTTTTACAGAGACATTTCATTCTTCACTCCATCTCAGTCGGGATTCTTGCCAGGTGACTCAACTGTAAACCAACTTGCGTATCTTTACAATAATTTTTGAAAGGCTTTAGATGATGGCCTTGAGGTGAGGGTCGTATTTTTTGATATTAGTAAAGCATTTGATAAAGTTTGGCACCAAGGTTTGTTAGTGAAACTTTCATGAATCTGGAATTCGTGGAAATGTACACCAATGGCTTTCTGATTACTTAACAAATCGTAGACAACAAGTTGTTCTTCCTGGTACCATGTCGGACTGTGTTTACAAATTGCATCTGGAGTCCCCAAGGATCAATACTTGGGCCTCTTCTATTTCTTGTTTATATCAACGATATTGTTCAAGATATTGGTTCCAACATCAATCTTTTTGCAGATGACACTAGTCTCCATCTGATAGTTGAAACACCTTCTGAAACACATGATACAATGCAGAATGACATACAAAAGATTTGTCTTTGGGCTGATAAATGGCTAGTTAACTTTAATCCATCTAAATCCGAGTCAATGATTATATCAAGAAGAATCAATAAACCACATCACACACCTTTCTCAATGTATGGCCAACAAATTCCTCAAGTTTCTGATCACAAACATCTAGGAGTGTTTTTTTTCTGATGATTGCTCTTGGCATTCCCATATCAATTATATAAAAGAAAAGGCATGGAATAGAATAAACATAATGCGTAAACTTAAATTCAAACTAGACCGAAAGTCTCTAGAAATCATATATACATCCTTCATTCGTCCTATTATTGAATATGCTGATATAATATGGGACAATTGTACATCCTACGAAAAACAAGAATTAGACAAAATTCAAAATGAAGCAGCACGTATTGTGACGGGTGCAACAAAGCTGATATCGTTAGCTGATTTATACAATGATGTAAATTGGGAATCACTTTCTGACAGAAGAAGGAAGCATAAGCTTATTCAACTTTACAAAATGAAAAATTGTCTCACTCCATCCTATCTATCGTCTATTGTACCAGATCTTGTTCGCCTGAATACTACATATAACTTACGTAATTCTCAAAATATCGATACAATTCGTACAAGAACAACTCTATACTATAACTCCTTTCTACCAACGGCACTTCGTGAATGGAATTCCTTACCGATTGAAACCCGTCAGCTACAGTCATTGAATTCTTTCAAAGCTCTTTGAACGAAGACAAAACTAAAACTCCCCGACACTTCTATTATGGAGATAGACGGTCACAAATTCTTCATACAAGACTTAGAACGAAATGCAGCTCTCTTAATCACCACTTGTTCTTAAAAAATATAGTATCATCTCCTTTATGTAGTTGTGGCCTAATTGAAGACAACCACCACTTCTTCTTTACTTGCAAGAATTATACACAAATAAGAAATGCACTTTTTCAAACTTTGACTCCAATATGTTCCATTGATCTTCGAACCCTTCTATATGGAGATCCGTCAAATGATTATCAAACAAACACATGGATATTAGATGCAGTATTTGAATTTATAAATAGCAGCGGACGTTTCCACTAGATGTATTTTATACTACCAACATTTAATATACTGCAATATCTCCAATTTGACCTCTGTTCGTTAGTCTGGTCTTTCCAATATTTTTTGTCTTCTTTTGATATATATTTAATATACACATAATATTTTTTCTGGTTAGCTTAAAATAGTTAATTTCTAGACATTTGCTTTAAGTGCCAGTCTAAATAAAAAAACTTATTTTTGTCTGTTTTCTTTTGCTTAGTACTCACTTGAAAATTGTCTTATTAAGTTGCATTCCTAATTTCTTTTTCCTTTTTTTTTCATTTTTTATGTTTAAACTAAATCTTGCAATATTCTTACTTAATAATTTAAATGAATTAGCTATCCTGCCATATATGTTTGTGTAAATATCATTTGTTATCTAGGGAGAGGAACTATATAAGTTTTCTTTCGTTCTAATCCCTTTCAATTTATTTAACAATTATTCACATATAAAATGTAATATATGTAAAATATTGAAATAAATATGTTTAAACTATAACATTTTATAATCGGCTTTAGAAATATATGAAATATCCCAGCATGTATCTAACACATGCCACCAACTTTCAAGTTTAATTTCTTTGCGCTTTGGTGGTCCATTAACGACCAATTCATTTTAACTTAATTGCTGTATTTATTAACTTATAATTAAATCTATCTAAAACGCTCGGTTAAATTCGTTCTCTAAGCTGTTTTTTCCATGGGGTGTTCGGAGTTATAATTGTTTACTTAATTAATTTAATTCATTATCAAGTAGGGGCTTAGAAAAAATCATCTCCGTTATTACATTGTCTTTTAATATTACTATAAATAATTTATCAAGGACATTCAGGTATTACTGAAAGTAATGGAAATTGCAATCTATTTGAAATTCGAGCTATATTTGCATAATCACAGAATAGAAACGAACGCAAGTTTAAAGTTGATATAAGTTTATGCACTTGACTAGATTTTCAATTATTGAACCCACGTAAGCAAATATTTCGATTTTCCAAAGATGTGATCTGCCGATAACATTATTGATAATAAAGGTGTCGATCCCGTTTTCTAATATATTGATTCGACACTATCTGTCCCACATCGAACACAAACACTTGGAGTGTGCACCCGGCCCTTCACCGCCCATGAGTCACAAAAAATGATTATACATGACAAATATTGAAAAAGTCCCAAGCTTCTTATTTCATTTAAAGATATTTCTGATTTCAGTGGCCATTAAAAATTTTGACATATATCGCAAAAGCACTATCTACTAGCATTAAATAATTTTACAATTTTTTAACAAATGTTTAAAATTAACAACAAAAAAAAACACGTTACTCAAAGTTAATTGTTGTCACAAGATTGTTATGCTTTAAAATAAAATTGCCTATTGAATCCATGTTTACAAAAGATCAAATAGTTAGTTATATTAAAGTGTTACTTTAATCAGAAATATTTTTCTTTAAGTGAAATAATGTGATAATTGCACATATGGTTCAAAGAATAGAAAAACACTTATTTCAAAACAACAATAAAGAACATAAGATAACTGAAATGATAGAACATAAAGTACTGAGTTTCAAGTCATTGACAAAATGTGAAATCCCCCTTTTTGATTTATTTTTTATTAAATTTAAGGTCTATTTTAGTTCAATTCAATATTTTATGTCTATTTTAGTATATCATAAGTATCAAAATAATTTTGGTATAAAAAGGGAGTGAAATGTCTTCAAGACGTTTCACTCCCATTTGGGAGTGAAACGTCTTGGTGTGAACCGTCTCAATAATGAAACGTCTGTCTACCTGTTTTAGGCATGCTTTATCCAGGAAATTTTTGACATAACTGATACATTTTAATTAAGAGATAAGAAAATTCTTCTAATGATTTATATGACTGGTGGCAGTGAATATGAAATCCTTGAAGTAAATATTAAAGTTTACTTTTAGTTTCATGTAGAATTTTTATGAAAATTTTGGAATCCTTCCTTTATGATGAAGTCAGAGACCAACAGGTCATTTATGAGTCAATGTCAGTTTCTGTTTGTGCACAATTATGTTTCCCTGAATATACATTTTTGTACATCATAACTATATAAAAAAGGCCATAATTCTATCAAATGATGGATACAAATTCTCGTACAGGTTTCTCCAGATCACTGAAAGGCAATAATATTTCTTTACACCCCTTGAAAAATGAAGTAATCACAGACTTG